GTGAAATATTTACTTTATTTATTTAAATGTTTCTTCACATTTTAGTTATAGTTTTTATTAAATTCTATAATTAAGATGTGAATCACGTCTTAACCCAAAATTACTTAAATCCGTGGGTTGGGGCGTGACAGATTGGTCCTGCGTGATTGTTTCAGATCTCTTGTTAACGGATGACAAAATCAAATGTGTGGGAGGAAATATTTTCATCTCCAATCACAGCACGCCACATGGAAAAGAAGATTATCCCTTAAATTAATTAATTGAACCAATTTATTTGGCCAATTAATTAATAGGGATAATATCTTAATTATAGGATATTATCTTTATTTAATAAGATAATATCATTAATTCAGATATTATCCTAATAAGGAGATATAGTCATCACCAAATTAGGAGATTTGGATCCCAATCAAATCCCTAATGGGCTCAACCTCTACAATTTAGGTAAAGAATAAACTTCTTCCTAATAGGAGTTTTATTCTCTACGAAACCCTAGCCTCCGAGACTCCTATAAATAGATGGCTTCATTCATCATTCAAGGTGCTTCAAAACCCTGAGAAAAACATCCAAAGCTTTCTCCCTCTCTCTCTCTCTTGTCGCCAACTTCTCCACTCTCCATATTTTCTCCACACAGCTCCGGCCACCACACACAGCTCCTGTCACCCGGTTCTCACCCTAGAGAAATCTTTGTATCCTTTTTAGCTATTGTTTCACCTAGATTCAGTCGAACTAACTTAGGCATCGGAGGGCCTTTGGCCAACACCCCTCGAGTGTGGTCTATTTACTCTGGTCTTTTTTACAGGAATCAAGAAAGAGAGAGAAAGAAGATCAAAGGTTGAAGAATCACAAAGCAAATATTCTCCCGCGAGGATTTTTACACAAATAAAATGTAAGAATTCAAATATAACGATGAAATCTTTTAACCACTTAACTCCAAGTAACATGTTCTATTTGTAGCTATATATGTAAGAATTCAGCTGGAACTACTTGGGTAGGACTTTCCTTTAAGTGAACATGTGGAACATACAATAATTTATATGAAACACGAAAAAACCTCATTTGGTACCTTTATTTATTGATATTTTCGATATGGAATGTAGGTGATATTAATTAACATATTCTTTTTTCTTTCCTTTCATTTTACTTCCCTTTGAGACCTTCCTAGGTTAGTTCCCATGCACGTGACCATGTGATTAAGTAATGTGATCACTATAACGAGCTGGTTCTATCCATGGTTCCTTTTTTTTCTCTAATTTTTTTAAGATACTAGAAAAACTAAAAAGTCAAATCTAACGTAATGTTGAAGGTGTCTTGCCTCTCAAGTTTATTATAAACATCACAATATTGAGAAAATTATAATACAAGAGCCAAGCAGTAAATCGTAATTAGCTTGGAAATTGAGGATGAGCCAAGGAGTGCACCGTCACAAGTTGGTCGATTTGATCCACTCCCACCGACAATGACGTTCTTCTAAATCACTTTCCCAGAAAGACTACGAAATCCTAACCTTATTTTTTGTCTCCGACCATGACATAAATCTATTCTGGACAAAAAACATTAAAATACAGAACCCACCACCATTTTCTTGTCACCTTATCATCTTGTGCGCAAAAAGAGAACTGTTCCTTTCCCAGCTTATTATAGCATTGAATTGGTAGGTAGGGTTGGACTAGGAGAGCACTTTCCAGTCCATGGAGCACACAAAAGAAAAGAAAAAAGAAAAGGAAAGGAAAAATTATAATATATATTGTCAGCTATGAATTAACATAAAGTCTTATTTGGTTCACGGAACAGATTTGAGGGGAAATAATTTTCCATGTTATTTTTCAAGGGATGGGAAATGGAGATTAGTTTCTCATGTTTGGTAATTGTAGGAAAGTAACCAAGAAATACCAGTTTATTTCCTTTCACATGTTTAGTTGGTGTAGGAATATAAAACAAAGTTTGTTTAAATTTCTAATTATACCCATATGAAATCAAATATAAAAAAATTCATTTAATGCTATATTGTAATTCTAAGTAGTTGTTGGGTTGAAGTCTAGTCAATTTGGGTGCATTATAAGCTACTTCAAAATGGAGCAATGTGAATTAAGTAAGTTGACAATAGCAGTATGCGATCCTTTATCTTTACCCAAATCTGAATACCATTTCTGTATCTTAGAATTATTTTAAAAAGAAAATTTCCAAAGAAGTATTTTGTTTTCCCTAAATAATCAGTGTGCGGTTGAGATAGTGATTTATATTAAGGAAAATGCTAGGGAGACCAACTTGGGATACCAACTCTCTAATAGAGCGTGGGACCCATTGCATTGGTGGGCTCCACCTCTATTAGAGAGTTGGTATCCCAAGTTGGTCTCCCAAGTTGGTCTCCCTAGCATGACCCTTATATTAAACATGTTTATTTACCTCACCTCAATTATTGGGTGGGAGTGCTCGGAAATCCCAACTAATCCTTAATCCCCTCACAAGTGTTGCTTAGATCATATGATTAAATTTGTCTTTGTTGTAGCTTGTTATATATGCTTGGTTCATAAATCATCGTCACCCAAGGTTTTCAATTATTCTTATTATTTTCAAATAACTTAGTGAAATCTATCGTCACTAAAGTTGTTGAATTTTTTTTTTTTTTTTTTGGTCAAGAAAGTTGTTGGATGTGGTGACTAGAACCTTTCACAAGATAATTTTCCTAAGTTACCCTGTAAAAGAGCAACAAATCTAATATCAATAGAGCACGAGTGTGTAGGGGCAGAGCTATGTATTGGCCTAGAATAATTGTGACCTCTTGAAGCCTCATACAAAAGCATTTGGCTCTAAAGTATATCAGTTGAAATATGACTATATAACCTTGAAACTATGGTACCCACAAAGAAAAGCTATTAGCTCCGCCACTGTCGGTGCGGTGCTTAACACACGTATCTTTCTTTTTTTTTCTCGGAACAAAAGTTTAGGAAAATGGGAGGCTACTACATCTCAACGCTAAGACATATCAAGACCTCTTTGAGGACTTACAGAGAGGGTCTTAGCCCTTTTTTGGTTTTTACTGATTACCCATCAAGAAGAATTGTCAGTAGTGGAACTCGAACTTAAGCCTTGTTAGCGAAGAGAACGATCCTTACCAACTCAACCAACCCTCGTTGGCATTTATCATTATTTGTCTTTCTTAACAAAGTAAGAATATAAAACCATTCCTTAATTTAAAATATGGTTAAATATCTTTTTTGTTACTCTCTTTTTGGCCTAAAATAAACACTATTTACAAGTCAATATAGTAGACAGCTATGGTCCATCGATAATTGTTTTTTTCTCTTTTTTTTTTTCATTATAGTATCTTGAACAAAATAAGCATCAAGCTTTCATTATGCATGCATCATGATCTGCTGGCAATGACATTAATTTACTTTCAAAAGACAATATGCATATGCTTATGTCTTTTGGGGGTCACAAATGCTTGGAGTTACAGATCAGAAAGTGCCACAACAACTGGCATTTATCTTTGAATATATTCTAATACAAGAATTAATTCTTAGATTGTAAAAAAATAAATAAAAAGTTACAAGGAATTGGTTTAATACATGCGTAATACGAAATCATTCTTCATCTCTTGCTGAATAAATCTCTGCGTAAAATTAAACATGTGTTTGAGTACCCTAAAAACTTCTTATACAAGGTCATTTGGAGCATCTAGGCCTTTTTTTGATACAAAAATTCAGCAGTTGGTGATTGCTTGTGATTCGAGATGAGGAACCAACTCAGAGTTTGGTTGCTAAATGACTGAAAAAGTACACATTGTTCTTTACATGTCTTAGATTTTTGCACACCAACTGTTCCTAATTCTTTTTCTTTTTTTGCCAAAGTTACGAAAGGAAAGGGAAATTCACACACACACAAGTACTATGGGGGCTTTGAACCCAGAACAGCCACTTGGGAGCACACCGAAGGCCTGAACTAATCCAACTAACACCCCATCGGTCCAAACTATTTGTACCAACTTCATTATTAGCATAGCCTCAACTCTCCCTAGTGTCAAATAATGGTATTTGAGAATTTTCCTTATTGTCCTTGTGGAGGCAAATATGTAAAATTACATTGTGTAGGCTCTTAACAGCTGCATCAATACAATTGTACAGGTTAATAACTGTTAGCTTCTCAGCTAAACAACCCCAGGAAAAGTGAAATTAGAAAGAAAAAGGGACCGTACTTTGAGGGACTAAAGGAGAAAAGAAAAGGAACCAACAGCCAACATCACTCTTTTGTGATTTAGCAAGATCATAATATTTAGTAACGAAAACAAAACAGAAGATTAAAAAAAAAAAAAAGGTTGACAGTGAGTTTGCGAGATCATAGCCTCTCACTCCATCAAGTACAGGCCATGCTTCTTGTCCCCCAATCACTTCTGCTTTAAACCCCCTTATCATTCCATAACTGCAGTATATTTAACCCATGTACTTCTCTTGCACGATGGAAAATGGTTGCCATGTTCTGAGAAAGCAGAAACTGAAAGAAATCTTGCATTGCTATTCCCGACCAATAACACAATGACATGTGTGATAACCTTTCCACTTATCATTGTGTTATTAGTCGGGGATGGTAAAACAGTGTTATCCCCGTTACAAGAAAGTTTTTTTCGTAGATAAGACAAAACTTATTAATAAAGTATTAAAATTTTGATAGCAACCTACATGTCAAGATTAGAATTCGGAAACAAAAATACTAGTCATACATACCACATTTATATACCACCTCTCTAATAGAAATGTGATACAAACAAGTGGGGGGAAAAGTTAATAATTCCGTTGAGTTGTACAACTATCCTGTGAACAAGTGGGGTCTTAACTATTGAATCTTAATTTCTCAGAAAAAGGAAATTAATCCACAGGTTAATTTGGTACAGCTGAATTCTGTACCTTGGGACTTCATTGGGCTTGTTATTGAATCCGCAAAGAAAGGCCCAAGTGCTTCACATTAAAAACGAAGGAAGCTTTTATCCCACATCGGAGGATCGTCTGTTTTACAAGTTCTTTATATACTTACGCTTAAGAACTAAGCTTGTCCCTTCGGGGACATCCGATAAAATTGGAACGATACAGAGAAGATTAGCATGGCCCCTGCGCAAGGATGACACGCATAAATCGAGAAATGGTCCAAATTTTTTTGCTCTTTTTTCTGCCAAATTTTTTTTGCCCTTTGAAGTCTTCGATGGTTCGGTGGCTTCGTCTTTGATCTTCCAGGTGTGAGTAAAAGTTTGAATTCAATCTAATTTGATCTTCCAGTATTTGATTTTAGTATGGAATCTTTTGTGTTGCAATTTAATCCATGTAAAAAGCTCGCCTACTAGCTGTTTGATAAAATGACTCTGTTACTATGACCCTTACCTTATATCATAATGCGTCAGTGTTGGTTTGGAACCTTCAATCTTGGTTGTTTGAGAAATTCTAATATCATACTGCTAGCAATTTAGGTTTAGGATTATAGACTGCGAGGATAGAAACACACGGCAGTGCTGCTACTTTTAAGCACTGCGAGAAATGTAGTTTCTAATGCCTTGCAGAAGAGTTGTGGTTTTCTACATTTGTGGTGGCGCGTCTCGTTAGGGTTTGTTCTGTCATCTAAATAGGTGCAACTGCATTTGAGTATTTTTGTTACTTGGTTCATTGATAGCAAATCAACATATATTTGATTGTTAGCTTGCTGTAACTTCCTAGCTGTTTGTTCACAATTAGTAATTAGGGAGGACTATTAGAGGGATGAACAAGAATATATTGTGTGTTGCTAGCAAGTACGTGAATTGAATGTGAATAATTTCTAAAGACCTCCCTAGATCAGTTTTAGAACATTCGTGGTGGCGCGTCTCGTGTTATGGCAGTCATTTTCCATTGTACTTCTGTAAAAGACATTGCAGGTCCCAATGGTTTCCTTTGAATTTTGAGGCGGGACAAGCCTTTGGTTCTAAGGAAGACATAGGCATAAGACGAGGCAAGCAATTAAAGCAGTAAGATTGAATTCCAAGCAAAAACTTAAATGAAATATCAGTAAGATTGAAGACATAGGCATAAGAGGTGGCAGTAGTTTTTCACTTTCATAGCAGAACAGATAGTAGAGGATGTTGCTAGCTAGCCTAGCCATATAGGAAATAATTCAAAGTAAGTTAAAACAGATGATGCTCATGAGCAAACTAAATCAAAAGGTTATTCCAATCCAACTTCAACAGATTTATTCGATATTCTTCATCTCCACCACATCCACACCACCAGTTCAAGTTGAGTCTCAGTCAGTTGACTACCTTGAGAGTTTGATACTCTTTGTAAGTGATGGCTGCTTCCATGAGATGGTGCGGGCCAAATTCCCCACCATTTTTCAAGAAGGACTTGAACATATTATGGGAGAAGCCACTCAATATTGTGAAGCCTGGATGTTGTGTACAAATCCAGGGATCTTCATCCTCGTTGAAATACTGCTTTATTCATCTCAATCATCTTCTCTATATTTGCTGTAATTTCAATTTGAAAATTGAACAGAGGTTGGTTGGTTGGTGCTCTCTCTCTGCTGGGAGGACTGATTGATTTTCTTGGCTAGAGTTGTTGGAGAAGATGATTCTAGAATTAATACAAAACGTACGCCCTAGAATGATTATGGATTCTGTTAGTGACTTGGGCAGCAAGGAGTTTCCCTTCCCCCTTTATTAGTTACCACAAGTAATAATTTGACTAATGTTAGTGTTTTTTTAGCAGTTCTAGCCCACATGCCAGCAGTCCCAAGAGTCTTGGCTTAGAGTTCTTTCTCTCTGTATTTATCTTTGTATGTTTCCTTCTATATCTTCTAGGATATATCTTGTATATCTCTTGTATATCTCAGGTGGAGGGTTTCAGTAAACTCAAAAATTGGTTGGTGCTGTGCCATTGTCAAGAACCCGAACATGTGGAGCTGGGTTTGGGACTTTTGGTGTCTGAACTGAGTGAAGAGCCAAGGAAAGGAAGGCTCATTGGTGGAGAAGAAGATGAGCCAGACAGGATACAAGGCGATCATGATCTTAAGTCCAAGTGCGAGTTGATCATGATCTTAAGTCCAAGTGTGAGTTGATCATGTGGAAGTGTAGTGTTTTGGGGGCTTTTGATTTAATTTTGGAGGTGGTTGTGAATGCGAATTTGAAGGCAGAGCAGATGATCAAGAAGGTGATTGTGTTCACCGAACTACATCCACTTGATAGCCGCACCTGATATCTTGTTCAGCACGAGTTACTAGAAGATATAGAAGGAAATATACAAAGATATCATTCGGAAGCAAAGATATATCTTGTATATATCTTGTATCTATCTCCTACATCCACCTGCTTTTGCTGCTGCTTTAGGTACAAGTCCTCCACCATTGCCTTCCACTGAAAGCCACTTCCCCGACATCCTCATCTTGTACATATTTTATGATCTCATTCGGAAGCAAAGCATCCAGCTTTATTATGCTAATGTCACCTCCTCCTACTGCTGCTGCTTTCACCTTCTTCAAATACTTCTTAACCACACAGGGCTCTCGGCCTTGACGATTGTAGTAATTGGTCAAGGGCCCCAAAAACTCATTATGTAGCCATTTCAACTCCCACTCTTGTGATTGATCTGATTCGGGCAGGGCAAGCCTTCTGGCGATGCTTTCAAGCAGAAAAATGGTGCCGGTCCAGTGCTTGTGCCCGACTCGTGTGGAAGTGCAACACTCTGCAGCCCTGGATACCAAAAGATGCGAATTCATTTTGTCTATATCAGACTTCAAATGCTCCACGAAAATATCAATAACTCGATCATGTAACAATCTATATAATCCAGGTCACGGTGGTACCTCTCAGGATGAAGACGCAGATGCGCAGCAGCGTCGTGATCTTGGTCGCTGTCTCATTTCGGAACTAGAACCTTGTAGAGAATTTGGACAAGGTTGTACCACCAACCCCCATGGTGGAGATAGCGGACAAGAGGCAAGTTGGCAATAAAGTGGAGGTGCGTAACAGAGTCTTGGGGTGGTTGTGGTGGAGCCAAAGCACGGCCGTGTTGAACTTTGTGTCAGAAAAATCGATTGAATCGAAGGTGAAGATGAGCTTGAGGGTGGTGAGGGGACTGTGGGACCAGGCCAAGGGGAGCAGTTGCTCCAGATATGTAAGGCAGGGGTTAGCATCTCTCCATTCCGGTCTGAGGGCGTTGAAGAAGAGATCAAGGCAGGGGTGACCGTAGGAGGAGGAGGGAATACAAGGCCAGAGGCTGTTGTTGTTTGCAATGTCAGCGTTGGCGTTAGAAAGTAGCCATTAATCTCCTTCTTTCTATTGGTGTGGTTGGAGCTACTACTAGTTGTGAGGGTGAAGAAATGAAAATATTGCCGCCTAATCTGCGTTTGCCAACGACATTGACAAGGTTTCGGTTTCGGAGGCATCCTCCTGCTGATCCCCCTGCTGCTGCTGCTTTGTACCGATTCACACTCGTCAAACACACTTGCCCCGGCTCCACTGCTTTATTCATCTGAATCATCATCTCTCAGTGGTTGGTTGTTTGGTTGGTTGGTTGCTGGTTGAGCCTTGAGCCAGGATTAATTATAGATTTGATGCCTGCTTGCTTGGACACCAAGGATGTTTCAGTGAGTCAGTTGTATTGTATTGATGTATATAAAACATGTAAAAGAGTCCTATGAAAATAGGAGATAAGAGTGAGTGATATTTAAGCGATAAAATATAAGCAGATAGGCTCTCTCTCTCTCTCTCTCTCTCTGTTTGGTTGGAGGACTGATTGAAAATTAATTTCAAGTTTCAACAAAGTAGATGCAATTACAAGCTTCACCTTCTAATATTCACTCCGTTACCTATTGTGAAGAAGAAGAAAAAGTATAAAAAGGAGAGAGAGAGAGAGAGAGAGAGAGAGAGAGAGAGAGAGAGGGAGATTGGGCTACAATGAAAAATCAAATAGGAAGGATTATGATTGAAAGATTGGTAACCCAACAGGAAAATTGGACTCCCCTGTCGATCGAGCTGATTGTAGGACTATAAGAGCATCTTAAAATGACTACTCCAATGTATTAAATATTAAATATGGTATTCAAATTAATTAATGGTAATTCTATTTGACAGCTTGCTATGATTTTAATGAATATTTTTGTTCTCATTGCATGTACAAAATAAGTTGTTTCCATGGTCTGTTGGAATGTTTGTTAAGTGGAAATGGGAGGGTTTGATTGTCGCATAAGTAAATGTGAAATTGACAATTACTTGACAGAGACTGCAGTTTGAAAATAGACGGATAGGCAATAAATCATGGCAGGAAGGAGATTTCCGGGGAACCGTAGGAAGGTACTGCCGGAGGCCGGCAGCACTGGGTGGAGGTGTCGGGTATGTGCCGGTTTGTGCAAGACCATTGTGGTGAAACAATCTTACCTGGTTCTGTACAAGTATATCCAACAAATCTAACACAATACAAGTCGGTAAAAATCCCCTGAACTGAGTATTTCTATCACAAAGAGGTATTGCTGTAGACTGGAAAATGTGCTTTATTTTTTTTTTTTTTATCGGGAACCAAGACAAAATTTAGACTTCAATTTCTTACCACTAAACAAGTCAGCGGAAATAACCACTAAGCATGTTATATCAAGAATAATTTAAAACTCTTCAAAATCTGAAAAGTTCCCATAAAACACACAATAATCACAATCAGGCAAACTCTGCTTTTCTGAAAAATACGGATGCGAAGATCAGTCATCTCTCCGGAAACCATTTCCATGAAAACAAGTAGAAGCAAGTTTTAATGACAAAGGCAATGCCTAAAAAATAAGGAAAGATAATATAACTCTGACCCATTTAAAGCCTGGTAGATAATCATATCCCTGATCTCTATGACTGGACAGAACAAAGAGTTTATTAAAATCTTATAATGGAGAATACAATGACCCTCAAACTACAGAATTTCAAAGGATATGCAAAATCGATTTCCTGACATGTAGAAAAAACAGAAATCTTAATCAGGTTTCAGATGCTATACGGACAAGTAACGCATTTCTGAATATAATCCCACCAGAAATTCAGATGCTATACGGACAAGTAACGCATTTCTGAATATAAGCAGCATCCCACCAGAAAGGTTTCTAATAACAGAATTTCAGGAACCCTACTTCCTGACGAAAATAGAGACTTACTACCAATAAATTGAGCACCACTGGATATATAAGAATGACTAGTATTCAAACTCATGGGTTTGAGATGATCTCACAAAGGATTAAAGCCAATAAAACTCACAAGATTAGGCAAAAAGCTTCCTCAATGACATCTCATAGTGAAGAAAAAGAAATGCATTGTATATAAAGAATGAACAATTAGCATCTTGGTACTCAGTTCCTTCCACATGAGGTCCATGGCTCTACTAAGTATTTTCA